CCTCTTTATATTTTAAATGTTAAAATGCCATACTTAAATTCTTTGTTAACCTTTCCCAGTCATGTTTTCAATTTGATTTTTTAATTCTTTGGAATTTATTTTCATTTTCCTTCTTGTTAGAATTTTGAAAGTTTAAATTGTGGTCTTGCCCCACAGTCCTCTAATCCTCTAGCTAGCAACTCCTTTTATCAATTCCAGCTGAGGTCAAAGCCAGTTTAGTCATTTGTCTTTAGAGACAGCAAAAAGTGACCCTAAAGTACTAAGTTTTTTTTCTTAAGATCTAAAATGTGTTTAATTAAATGTAAGATATGGTTTTGTTGATTAAAATATACCATTTTCTCACTAAGTCTGTAACTACTAAAGGTCAAACCCAACAGTTGTTACTTGTTCACAACAATCTCTTTATTCCATTTGCCATCATCTTTTTCTAAAACCGGAGTCCGAGAAAATGGAAAGTCTGTAAATTAGGAAACAAAATAATTATCTGTCTGTTGTACAAGGCAATAACCCAAGGCCCACACAGCCAGTAATGAAACACTCAGCACAGAAGTTGGCTGAATCATTATCTGACACAAATTATGCTCTAATGGTGTTATTTATTAGACCCTTAAGTAAGTAAAGAAAAAAAAAAAGGTCTCCAAATAATTGGCGTTCCATAAACAAGAATTCTGATTTCAGAACTAGAATGCCAAGGTGTGATCTATGGCTGAGGGTCTCTGCAGTCCAAAACATAACAATCACACCAAATACTCTGAATTCCAATGACATTCACAATCACCACTTAGCTGAATCAAAAATATCCTTGGACTGGGTATTCCTGTACAAGTTCACAGTTACAGATATGATTAAATGGTTTTTTGGTGTTTTTTTGTGGTTTTTTTTGTTTGTTTGTTTGTTTGTTTTTTAATTCTGCTCAGTAAAAAAGACTAAATTAATGCAAAAACAAGAACAGACATCTTCTGTGTTTACATTTGTGTCATTTTAATGGGTTGGGATTTTCTGCCTGCTCTGCAAAACAATTTGGGAAGTTCATTTCATAATTAGCAGACTCAATAACTTCTAACTGTCCGAGAAGGATAAGATAATGCAGGAAGAAAAAGATCTGGAGGATGGTCATCTGTTTAATGTTCAGATAATTAAGAGTGTTGGACAAATGAGCTTGATTTGTTCCTTCTTCTGAGCACTATACGTAAATTATGGTTAACATAAAGTAGTTTTGATGGTCAAAAATATATTTCCTTTCAGAAAATACAAGGCAATTGCTCCAATGCTGGAGTTCTGAATGAAACAGTGGTAATGATTTTGGAGAAAAAGGCATTGATGTACAAACCTCCCAAGAGCAAACAATGTAACTGGGGTCTTTTTAAACTTTTATACATTGCTATGTTCTTTTAGATTATTATAGTTCTTTTTCTGTATATATAGGAAAAAAAAAAAACGTTCTACCCATAAAATCAATAGTCTGATTCACATTGTTTCCAGTGTGCTGGATTCCACAAAGTTCCTTTTTAATCTCACATTCTTACTTTTCTACAAGATGAGGACTTGGAAAAGATAGAAGACTACTCCCTTTTCTCTTGTCAACCAACCTGCAGTTCAGAAATGCCAAGAACTGGGAAAGTTCTCCAAAGTTTAAGTGACTTAGAAGACAAGCTACAAAAGGACATTTTATCTTCAGCAAGGTTTTCACCTGACTTTTTCCTTTGCTTGAGCTGAGCAAACCAGATTCTCAGAAATTTACAAACACTCCCACTCTTCCATGACGGTGGTGCTGCTGCCACAGATCCTGGAGGACATTTCCCCTCAGTTATTCCATCTTCCTGTGCAAGGCAACCATCTGTGAAACATTCTCCTGGCCACCTGCTGCCCCAGCCAGCTGTTCTGACTCCACGCTGCAGCTGCCACCTGCGACAGCAGCTAAAAGCCAAAAACACTCCAGCAAGAGAGAAACCAACTGGCAGGATGCCAAGTGGATTAAAACTCCAGCACAAAAGCTGACAAAAACCCACCTGTGTGCAAAACATCAAGTAGCAAGGAGAAAAGCACTGGCTTTCAGCGAGCAGAAGGGCCCAAAAGGGCTCAGCAGGTTTCTTTTTGTGCTTTGCTAAAACCAGTTTAATAACTTGTCACCATGGCTCCAGGGAATGGGGAAACCTGCTCCAGCCTTCTTGCCTGCCAGGAGCTCTGGTGGGACCAGCATCAGAGAGAACATCTGGAAGGGAGTGGGATCATTCTCCATGTCTCATGGACATTGGGAAGTCCTGAAATAAGACTAAAATGGGATTAAGTGGTACATGATGTTTCCTGTGCTGGCACAGTATGCATGGGCAAATTTTAGCCTCCTTGGGAAGGCATCCAGAAGTACAATGAGGAGCTAAAACACTGATGGATGCAATGGCCCAGATTCCTCAAGAATTTGGAGAAGGGAAAGGACACAAATGATAAGAGAAAACCTAAACACCCAAACAGGATGTAAGATCCTTCTCATTCTCAAGAGCAGAATTAATGGAACAAATCTGCATCAGATACAAGCAAAGAACAGACTGAAACTATCCTGACAACAGATATGTCCCAATAATGAAAATTCTCTCTCTTCTGTCCACTTTTGCCAGTTACTGCCCCAGAATTTTTAAATAAAATCTTCACACAAACTTATTACTGCTTGATGAAAAGAAATGAAAAATTTGCTATCCAACATTAATATTAAAAAAATGATGAAATGGTACACCATTGTTAGGTAGCTGCTTATCTCTGATCTGCAGGGAACTTGAGTCAATTTGAAATGATTGACATTTTGTTATAAATAGTATTTGTCATTAAAATAAATTACAGTGTCCACAGTCATCAACTTTTCTAGTAATTTCTAAATTTACAATAGTATTATAACACATGGAAGTTAAATCAGTTGAATTTTCCCCTGTGGCTCTGAAACAACTACAGCAGTTTTCTATATTGCATTAGCCTTCTTTTCCAAGTTTTATTTTGGGCAGGTACAATGTACACACTGTTGTATTATTTAACAGCATTTCTTTTGTAATGTCACTCATTACAATTAAAATAAACAAAAAACTTGTTATTAAAGGTTTTTTTGGTTTTTTTTAACAGCCCTTGCTTCTTGATAGCTAATTTGGTAATGAAACAGAACATGACACTTGAGAATAAAATGTAACCTAATTACGTTTCTTAAAAGAAGTGATCTGAGTGTACATGCACACATATACTCCCCACATTATTAAATCATTGAACTTCTTTTAAAAGTCTCTTAAGAAACAAGTGGAAGAAAACCTCTGATTTCCATTACTTTTATAATTACTGAAAATCAATTTATGAAGGAAATATTTTATTAATTATTTAAGACTTTATTAATAAAAGCCACGAAATTACTGGTAAACTTTGTAAGTAGAATTTATAGGTTGGGAAACTGTCTTTTAAAATACAGGAGACAGAAATATGAGTAATTACATAAACTGGAATGTTAGGTAGAAAAGAGTTTACTTCTGAAGAACAGAGTGGAGCAGAGTAACCAAAATACCCCTAAGTGTAGATGATGAATACAAGCACCAAATTTTAAAATATGTTTGCTCCATTTATGTTCTCAGTTTAGCTTGAAACATATGAACTAAACAAATAAAAGAGGCACCCAGCATGAACTCAGCTGAAAGGCAGAGAATACAGGGAGCCTTGAGAAATAACCTACTTAATGTGGATGTAGTTACCTTATACATTAAGCTGTGCATAAAATAAATTTGTTATGCTACTTTACATAGCACTGTGCCAGATAAACATATATATTCAGGATAGAATAACTGCTCTATATTACCTAAGGTTATAATATTAGACAGCTTGGGCAAAATTTGTGGAAAAATAGGGTTTTGCACTGGGAAGTAAAGAGGAAGAAGACTGCAGAGAGTAATTTTTCTCTGAAACGAGAGGACTTAAAGAAAACACAGGCAAACTAATGATGTTCCCCTGTCCACTGAACCCTAGATATAATGTCTAATTTCACAGGAAAACTACCAGCTCTGAGGGCATGTTTAAAACTCCAGACTGGATATTTTATATACAGCATGACTAAGTTTAATATTAGTAGAAATTGTCTCAGGCGTATTTCAGGCACTGTCGAAAAATGGCTCGCTAAATGTTGTTCCTCTTTATTTGAAAGATATGCTCATTAAGCACATTATCCTACCCATTTCAGTAAAACAAACACATTAATAATTCTGTTTTATCCCCACTCTAACACTTTCAGAAACCATGCAGGTATGAAAGTATTATTTATCTCTTCCCAACCCTGCACTTCATCAACCAAATGACTACATTTCAAATTGTTTTCTTTCCTTTGCAGGGAGGAAAGCTTTGGTTTAAGGGATATGAAAATGAAAGCTCAGTTCATCCATCATTACTAAAGATGGGGGTGGAGGGGGGGAACCACCACACCAGAATTTGATTTTCAGATCACAGGGCAGGTGTTGAGACATCAAAAAGCCACACTCTTTCTCAGAGAGTCTTGAGGTAGCAGACAGCAAACAGAATAATTCAATAATACAATAAGAGGACCCCTTATGTTGGAGGTAGGTGGTGAATGGTAATTTCTGCCAGGACTGGTACATCTCCACAATCATGAAAAGGAACTGTTGGAAACTCTACCATCACAGATCTGATATAAAAAATGGGTAAGACACATTTTGACAATTCTGACAACCTCAGGAGAGGTCAGGGAAATCAAAAAAGCAGCTAGCCTCCTTTAAAAGTGAACCAATG